AATATTTATATTGTACCCATCATGAATGAGGTACTGTGGCAGGTTCCACCTCATATTTATCTGGCTGCCAAATCTGTGTGTTTTTAAAATTTTTTTATTTTTGGAGACAGGGTCTCAGTCTTTTGCCCAGGCTGAGTACAGGGCACTATCACAGCTCACCGCAGCCTCAACCTCCCAGTCTCAGGTAATTGTCTCACGTCAGCCTCCTGAGTAGCTGGAACTACAGGCATGCAATTAATATATGGTTAACCAGTTAAAATAACCATACCCCGATAATTTTTTGTATTATTAGTAGAGGCTGGTCTTGAGGTCCTGGGCTCATGTGATCCACCCATCTCAGCCTCCCAAAGTGCTAGGATTACAGGTGTGAGCCACCATGCTAGGCCTGTTTATTTTTTAATTACTAAATGATTTTTTCTTCTAAAATAAAAGAAAGAGCACATCCTTTATAGAAAAATTAAAATTGTAGTAAAGTATAAAGAAGTAAATCATAATTGCCCATAACCAATTTCTAAGGGGCCATTTAAATAATTTACACTAGATTTGTTCCTGTATTCTCATCTATCTGAGATTTACCTACTCAAGATCTATATGCATGCAATTTTGTATACTTGTTTGCTTAACATTGTATCATAAACAGTTTCAACGTCATTAAAAGTCCATCATAAACATAATTTAATACCCAAAGTTGGTGATAAATACCTCAGTGCAGGACTCTTATTCTTTATTCCAGATTTTATTATGATAATTGCTTCTTAGAAGTGGAATTACTGTGGGGGATGGGAAGATATATATTAGAATGTTTCTTGACACCACTAATGAATTCCTTTGCAGCAGCATAGCAAAAATCACACCACCAGATAAGAGCATTGATTTCATTGCACCCTCACTAGTAATGAAGAAATGTTTATTGATAAGCAATCTTTGTTAATATGACTGGTAAGGGGAAAAATCACATCTTTTAAAAACGTCTGGGGCTGGTACAGTCTGAGACTCCAGATGAGTTCTTCTGCCAGCAGGGCAGATTTCAGTGTATCCTGGGATGAGAGACTCCAACTCCACCTGCTGCAACTGGCCTCTTGGAGCTAAAAGATATCTACTTACAGATAATATTGTGAAAACAAAAGAATTTCAGCATAAGAAGGGGACTGCTGCATATAATCTTCCTAGCACCAAAGAAATCTATTTTAGAAACTTGGAAGGAAAATTGACCTAGAACAAGCTCATCTTGAAGGGGAAGTTGAGAACCTTACTTCATGGGACCATATGGAGCTGGCTAAAAATGTCACTTTCAAGTACCATGAAGAAAACAGAAATGTCATTTTGGCGGAATATAAGTGTAGACCACTTTTCATGAGTGTTTTATGAGTTGGATCTTGAGGCATCTGCAACAGAGTTCATAAAAGATGAGCATCTACAAGGGTTCTCAGACTCCACACTGAATTACTATTTTGATGGATATGTTACTTATCAAAGGCAAATATAAAAGTGCTTTGGAAATGTTGACAGAGATGAAAAACCCAGATGTGAAGTTCACCAGGATGCCTATGTTCTGTCTTTTGCAGTTGTCTATAAACTGAATAGCTCTGAATCTTTCAGAGTCTGTACTACAAAAAGAAAAGAAGCCCTGACCAAAGGATTTCTCTCCAGGAGAGCATCCCGTTTTCTGTGGCATTAGAACCAGGTGGCAAAAGCTATGTTCATTTTTTTTCTCACATCATGAACCCAGAACGCATAAAGTTCACTAATTTAAATATGATAATCCATATCCAGTCAAATATGTTAGCAACTGCGATAGAGATACTAAAGGCGTTGCAGAAGGAAATGTATCAAGATTCCTGGAAAGATGTGTGTCTTCAGAGGAACTGCTGGCCAAAGTGAGGAAAAAACTGAAAGATGTGCTTGTCTTTGTGGTCAGATTTCATGAGATGTATGGAAAACTGCAATTGCTGTTCAGGTCACCACTTATATTTTGGATGCTCCGCTCTGCAATATCCCCAGAGATGGGAAATCCCACATGTTGCCATGAAACAACAGGATGGTCAGCTGTTAGACCTTCCAGCCAGTCCCTGTCGGCTGAGTAAACCCTAGTTTCAATCCACCTATGGGTATGAGGGGCCTGTTCTAGTGAGTTATTGGCTTCCCTAAGAAGCAGGCATCGCACTTCAGCAGACACTATGCTGACACTTGATTTCCTTCCTAAATTCACTGAATGGTGACATGCTGCTCTCTGAGAAGTTATGTGTGCCAATGTGAAGATCTAGATACCAGCACAGAAAGTTCAGCTCCCTCAGAAAGCAGGCTTCCCCTGTGCACACTGCTGAAGATCCTTGAAGGAACATGGTCACTGTCTCCAGTCCAGCTTCCAGTAATGCAGTGGAACCCAGCAGGCACCATCAGGAATAAATTTCACTACAAGTGTGATCAACTCTGATTTTCAAGAGAGTAATTACTTGCAAATACTCTTGCTGAATTCAGGAGGTCCGAAACCCTATTCTACCTTGTCAGAAAACAGGCTGGGATTTCCTCACTGCTCTGCCTTCATGTATTCTGTAACATGAGCCTTCATTTTCCTATCTGCAAAATAATAGTGCTTATGTGTATTTGGATATAGATTTTAAATCTTCATTCAAGGTTTAGTTGGGTAAAATTTTCTCAAAAATAAAATCTGGATTTTAAGTTACTGAGATTGAATCTTAAAAAATGCAAGTAAAACTATAGGTCACTTAAAAATTCTCTAAGATATAAGTTGTATAAATACACTGGAGCGTGCTCTTCATTAACTCAATTAATAAAAGGGAAATAGCTTAAATCACACCCAAAGTTGCTATATCAGAGTTCTTGGTTGCAACACTGAAATCATTTCTGGCTGACTTAATCAGAAGATAAATATATTTCGAAGTCATTAAGTAGCATAACAAAGAGACAGGAAGTTTGGCAAATCAAGCTTCTCACACAGGCAGGGAAGCTTAGCAGCTGAAATTAAAACAGGTGGGTCATGACACCATTCAAACAGCCCACTTAGGACACCACTGGCATTGCCACAGTGTCACCTCTGCACTACTACCATCCCTGAACACAAAACCACTTCACAGATAATGGAGGTATTTCTAAAATGTTTGTTCTTTAAAACCTAGTCCAGATTCATATAACTGTACAGGAGTCTCTGAGGCTGACACTGGGTCACACAATGGTAGGTATTGGGCCATATTGGCTTTTATGAGAATTTGGAAAACTGAAGTGTCTTCACAGTCTAAAGGGGACCCCTGCTATTCAGCTCCAGCTGATGCTGCTAGAACTCGCCATGGACCAAATGTTGTCTGATGTTACAATTTTACAGAAAAAGTGAAAAGTCTGAATTTCTGTGAAATTTCCTAACCTCAAAATTCACAATCAACTTCAAAATAAGAAAAACAACACTATTGCTTCTTAAAAATCAAGGCTGCAGGCTGCCTCCAACAATCAAACCTCCTCATTTTAGAAAAACAATGCAGGCAGATGAGGCCTAAGTAGGTGAAATGCCTAAGACCAAACAACTCAGTTGGTGGCTGAGCCAGGGCTAGAATTTTGGTTTCCAGAGGAAAAGCTATTTAAGAAAAGCCAGTGTTCCCCCACCCGACGCTGCAGTCATTTCTCCCACTTGGAAGTGAGCTCCCAGCCAAGCTCAAGAAAAGGACTCTATTTCAACCAGCAGCCACAGTTTTCATAAAATGTTATAAATTAATAGAACCTATCAAGCCAATAGACACAGCTTTCAGTGTTGGATCAGAGTTTAAATTTCAGCTTCTAGACTTTCTAGGTGAGTAACCTGAGATAAATTATTTTACTTCTCTGTCTCTTGTTCACGGAAAAAAACAAAAACAAAAAGTGAGTCTCTTTTATATATAGGGTTGTAGCAGATGGAATAAGATTTCGTGTACCGACTACCTGACACGGAGCCAGAAGTGTAGTAAGAACACCGCCTGTGATAGTAATCTAATAACATCCAGGAGATATGCTAATAGTTCGTACTTCCCAGGTATACATAGATTGGGGATGGGGAGAAGAGCTACTAAGGCGCTTCACGGTGGGCGTAGCCGGTTATAGATAAATATCAAAAAGGAATTCCTAATGTGAGGTAGAAGTGGGATTTCACTAAAACCCTATCCTTCCCCAGACTCCAGTGACAGTTTAACGGACAAAACCAGCTGCATCGAGGCTTGTGTACTGTGAAGTCTTCAAAGGCACCACTCTTGTCCATCTCAGTGAAATTGATGGTAGAGCAAAAGGGAGTTTAGGTGGTTCCGGGCTGGGGAGGAGGCGTGCAGGGTTTCCGAAGCGAAAGTCGCACCTAACCGCTTCACTCTCGCTCTAGGCCCTCCGCAGGGACTCTGCTTCCACCTGCGAGCTTTTTCTGCAGACTGCGGGAAGCCGCCGCCGCCGCCGCCGCCACGGAGGAGGGGGTGGAGGCAGAGGCGGAGGCGGCACCCAGGGGCCGGGGCAGGGGAGGCCGGGACCATCGCAGTGACAATTTCTTTTCCTGCAACGGCGGCAGCAGGGACGGCTGCTGCAGGCCCGGGGTCGGCCGCGTGGGTTTGCGAGGACGCTGTTCGTCCCCTGCGGTGGGGTGTCCGACAGCGAGGAGGAGTAGGAGAGCGACGCACGGAGCCCGCGCGAGTGGAACCAGCAAAGCTCCACCGGTCCGCAGAGGAGAAGGGGGAGGAGGCACGGCCGAGACCAGCGAGTATCACCGGTATCACCCCGCTGCAGCGCCTTCCAGCAAAAGCCACCGCGGCCCGGGTTGCAGCGGCCAGACGGATGCCAAGGCCACACAGCAGGCGCTGGGGCCGCAGTCGCCGTCCCACGCGGGCTGCGGACATCGAGGGTTGCTGGTGAGTAGCGGCGTGCGCGCGCGAGGAAGAGCGCGCCCTGGCCGGGGAAGTGCGCACGGCGGGTGCGTGTGCCCAGTGGCCTGGAGAGTGCGTGTGCCCCGTGGCCTGGCGTGTGCCGGCCCTCCTTCCGTTGGCTGCGTCCGGTCCCTGGCTGGCTCTGGGGGAGGAAAATGCACTTTGGCGGCTGTTCGCTTCCTTCCTGCCAGTCCTGCGATCGGCCACCTCCGCCGGTGCCGCCTGCGTACGCCCCTCCGCTGGGCCCTCGGGTTAGTTTCACCTTGATAGGGAGGCAGGAAGCCCTGGCTCCTGGCGGCGGGGCGGGACTCTAGCCGTGACCTGTACGTGGGTGCGCGTGTGTTTCTGGTTCAGCCGTGGGTTGCAGCCTTGAAGATGATGTCGACCTTCGGAGAGACCACCGCGCTGTCTCTAGCTGCGCGGTGTGGAGGAGGGAGGGGCGAGGGTTAGAAAAACGGACCTTTACTCCGGCTGAGCAGGTGCCATGCCTTTCCAGATGATGTTACTTTTGTGCCGTTTATGAGCGACTAAGACATTGCCCCACATCTGAATAACTTAAAAGCGTCACCGAAAGCCCCCCAGTGATATGCACAAAGAAATGGAATATCTCCAAAACGTTTTTTTCCCAGAACTTTAAAACAACCCACGCTGCCAATACCCACCAGAGCCTAAGGTGCCATAATTGCTGAAGTTTAAAAGAAAATTTGTATAAGGAATAAGTAATTCAGGAAATGGAGCCCGATCTAGAGGTCTGTAAAAACAAAATTTTCAAGTGCCTGGGAAGTGGCGTGGAGTGGCTTGCTTTCTGGAAATCAGTGTTTGGTAATAAGTAAGGAAGAGACAGCTTTCAGAGTAAGCCCCAGTGAGCACAATGCTTTCCAAACATGCTTCTCATTACTGAGAATAACACGAAGTCTTGGATTTTAAGGCATTTCTGAAGACATAATGGATATCACTAGGATGCTGGTTTATGGTCTCATGATTGAAGGCCCTGTCAAGGTGAATAAGGTAGATTTGTTCCAGAAGATAAATTACACCTGAATGTTGATTGGCCGTTTCAATTTTTTTGAGGGTAGTTTTTGACGGTTGTTTTACAAAGAAGTTAAGCCACCATGTTTTGTTTTTTTCCCATCCTTGTTTCCACTAGCAATTTTGTGTTTTCAGGATGGGTGCTACATTACACTTCAAAAATATACTCTGCCACTGGATTATAGTGGGCATTGTGTAGCTACACTATACATATCTGTATTTTTAATACAAGTTAATGTCGTTGAGCAGTAGGCTCTTTTTGTTTACCATTTGCATCGTGAGGGCTTCTTCATTCAAAGGCATAAAATGTTATCGGAATCTACCTGGAAAATGAATTGGCTGCTTGTTTTCTGTTCAGGCATGCATACAGCAAATTGTTTGCCACCGAGAATCTGCTTTTGAATACACTTTAGCTGTAATGTATGTAGCAACTGGTTCTTGGGAATTTCAAGAAGAAACTTCTTTTCTTATCCCCACCTGTAAAGTAAGTACCAAAATTTAAATTACAAGGCAGATAACCTAAGTCCTTTAGCCCTATCTCAACCTTCAAGGCCTGTTTCTTGGTACTCTTGCCCTGTTTCATAGGATTCTTATGGTGTGGGAAGTTTGGAGGGAGTAGTGAGGGACCTGGGTCCTGAGGATGTCCTCAGCAAAGAGATTTGCTTCTGGAGAGGAGGGTGTCTTTGGGGTTCATTCCTAAGAAGGACTGATAAAAATAGTGATTAAAGAATTGTTAATAATAGTTCCCTCTTCTTACTTTCAGCACATAGGACTTAATTAACACCATTTGATCATTTCCTTCCTTTAGACCCTTCCCAGCTGTAAGAATTTACAGCTACAATCCAAGAAATGAGATTGCATTTTAAAAGAAAAGAAGGCTGATAATTCTTGCCCAAAACGTGAGAAGTAGAAGGAATGTGAGAGAAAATAATGTAGATTCTGCCCAGGAAGTGCTAGGTGCTTTCCTGGTGGGCACATTTACCAATCAGAGACATTTTAATTAATCTACTGGATTTGTGATTCTAATGCTAAGATCTTTTTCTTGACCTTTTGAAAGATTTATAGATGGCTTCAACTGAAACTACAGGAAATGACTCATGGTTATCACTGAAGGTATTAGAGCCAGCTTTCCATTCCTTAGGGTTGATGCATAGCAGCTGTTCGATAATATTTGTTAAATACATGACAGATATTAGAATGTCTTCCTAACCAAACTACATCACCTCTTCTGCTATTGTTTGTTTTAATCATAACCTTATATGAATCACCAAACATTTCATCAAATTGAATCCCAGTTCATATAATCAACTAAGAAGGCCAACATCATCAATTGAAGACACAATAACAAAAACAAAACACAACTCTAAAAACAAAAGCAAACAAAAATACTATTGGTACCTGTTGACTTGCTTATTCCAGCTAGCTGAACATGTGAACTGTCCAACTGAATGTGTGAATGTACATTCAGAAATCCTGAGTTGACATCAGAATGTTCAACGGAATGATCTGGATGTAGCTACATCTGGATGTGGCTTTTGTCAGAAATTATTTGCATTTCTAAGCAAATCAGATTAACTTCTAGTACAATCTTGCCTCTGCATGCCAAGTGGACAGGCGAATTTAACATTTGGCATATTGCTGAGTCTTCAAAGCACATATTGTTTGATTTTCTTTCTAACTTTTAAATTAAATCCATGTTATTTTTGTCCATTGATGTAGTTGTTTTAGAGACATTAAATCAGACTGGTGGTTACTTAGTAACTTGTGTTTATTAAAAGCAGCCCCTTGATATAAGCACCAATTATTCTTATATTTTTATTTTCTCTAGTTAACCTTTCAAAAATGAGTTCATTGTTTGGTCTTGAATATTAAGGATGTTATAAATCCTTTTTTTTGTTTTACTTCTGACTTTCCATCTCGCATCGTTAGAAAGTCTCCCAGTTTTCAGGTTTCAGTTTCAGGATGAAAGATTAGAAAGCGCTCTGAAATTTAGCTGGATATTAACCTTCTAGTGGGTAATAATAATGCAAATTTATCCTTGAAATTCTTCCCTTTATGTCCTTCTCTGATCAAGCTTGTTTCATTCTGAATAAAAGTAAAATGAGATTCTCAAATTTTTTTTAACTGGGCTATGTCCAAAGATAAATACATAAAAGTAAAATATTATGTAAAATAAAAAACCGCTTATCACTGTCCTGAAGTAGCACAATCAATGCTATTCTCTGCATAATGAAATATGGCCATTTCTACCAAGATTTATTTGATAAGTAGGCACTTGAGCACTCGAACAGGAGTTAAAAGCAGGTGTCCTCCACGTCTGATTAAGGCCCTTAAAAGCTAGGAGTGGAATTTTGATTTCATGTGGCATCCAATTGTACATTCCTTGAAAGGGAGCAAGTGAGGAAAGTACCTTGTCAGAAGAGCACTTTGGCAATTGGGTGGAGAGTGGATTAGTTTTAGGGAGTGGAAGTGATAATCCAGTGTCTTATGATGACAATCTGATCTCAGATCCCAGGGACATTGAGACGGATGAAAGAAAACCTCAGGTAGATGTCAGGATGCTTTGTTTTACGTGAAAGAAAGATTGAAAACCTGTGGCACAAGTGTGATCATTAATACCCTCCACACCTACAGAGACATCAACAGTGAATTACAGCATTCTTTCCTGCTGAAGCATGGTATAATCTCAGAATCTTGCAAACATTTGACAAATATTTGTTAATAACTATTAGTTATTAAAGATGTGCTATATGCCAGGCACTGTACTAAGCCTTAACACAAGTTTATCTCAATGATGATGGAGTGGTTGGAAATGGGATTTTTTTTTTTCTCACTAGTCACATGTCCTTGGAAAAGTTACTAACTTCTCTGAGTCTCAGTTTCCTTGCTTTTCAATTGAGACATTAGTTTCTATCTCAGAAGGTTTTAGGGAGGAAGAAATAAATAGGTGTAAATGCAAAGCATTTAGAACAATGTCTGGCACCAGATTAAGTGCTAGATGTGTTTGTTGTTATTCTTGTTATTACTCTCTAAACAACCTTATGCCTAAGTACCATTTTGCAGTTAAAAAATTGATGTACAAAGGAGCTATGTGAATTGCTCAGCATCGTAGACTAGTAAATGATACAGCTGGCTGTCAAACCCAGACAATATGACCCCAACACCTCCTTTCCTAACTTGTATGGATCCTTGTCACCTATCCTGCATGCTAGATGCTGGGGATACTGATTGGAGCAAGAAAAGTAGGGGCTTGCCCTCATGGAACTTCAATGTTCCAATCCTCTCCAATGTAGGTCTGCTGTCTCCAATGTAAAATTAGTAGCCAGATTATTACTGTTTTACCTTGATATTTTTGTATTTTGTAAGTAATGTTTTTATTAAGTTCTTTATTAAGAATTGCTCCATATTGTGTTTTAATATATGCTTTTAAAAATGGATTGTTTTCTGTTTCTTTGGCCTAAGGCAGTTGGCATATGCAATACTTATGTCTCTCCTTATACTCTGGCTTCTTATGCCTCCCTCATATAACGTATTAGATTCTGGGGCAGGTTTTAGTATTCTGAAAAACTTCTTTGCCATCCACTTGCCCCGACACTCCTAGTCTTAGATATCTCCCATTGTAAGCTGTGGTAGAGTGATAATGACATTTCTAATCATCTTTTAATTCAGCTTATTCAGAATAATTTATAGAGTAATGGCAAAGCAAATTTTAGCTGTTCTTTGACTTGTCAAAGGAATCATGTCTAATTATAAGAAGCCAGATTTAATTTATAAGTGGGAAGACACCTGTGGCAGTGAAGAAAAAGCAATTCTTAACTACTTCAGAGCTTTAGGATGGAATCTGCCATCACCGATTCCACTATTTTGACTTTAGTTCACTCTTATAAATGTTTGCTCTCATAACTCTCAGAAATCTATAGCTAGTATTGTTTTTTTTTTCTAAGTAGGTGAAACTTTTTCTTGGTCTTGTATAAAGTGGAATAATTAGATTAACATATCCTCCTTGCCTCCAGCAAAGAATCATTGAGTATAAAGAGATGTATATTTGTTGTATATGTCAACAGTGTTAGGCAAAACAAAAACAAAATAATCCAGTTTTAAGGCATATATGAAGACACAAATTGCAACACTTTTTAATAAAGAACATAATAAAATGCATTACTTGCAAAATACCAAAATGTCAAGGAAACACAGCAGTCATCTGGGTACTAATTTTACATTG